ATAAATAAATAAATAAATAAGATTTTACTCCTGATGGGGAATGAACCTGGGAGCTAGAATCACCCAAGATGCTAAGCTTGAAGCGACCCATCTGCAGGAGAACCTGCAGCCAAGGCATGAAAGCAGAGCCTCCGCTCTGGGTGGCCAAGGCCTGAAAGGTGAGCAGACAAGGAACCCATGCCATATCTGGCACATGGCCAATGGAAAAGAGAGGCCTGGGCATGGGTGCATCGCTGGGAAGAAAGTCAGCACCAAGCTCACCACAGCCACTGGTAAAGCTGGCACACTTGCTTGATCACTACCACCACCACCAAAATCATTATTAAATCTTGCAAATATTGTTTTAGCAGTTCATTGCACATAAGTTTGAGAAACCCTGTTCTCATCGTTACGCTATCTAGTCCACACTTAACTAGTTTGCTAATCAACATATCATGTTGAAGTCAAAGTATGGGGTGTCTACTACATTTCTGCAATCTATTAAGAAGTTAACCCATCAAAAAATGAATGTGGGTTAGTTGGATGAGATCTGTTCTTGGTAGACCCATTTTGGCTTTTGGCAATTACTGTATTGCTTTCAACATACCTACAGATAGTAGTCTGAATAGGAAACCAGCTCGCCTGGTCACATATTCCCCATACACTAAAGCAGCCATGGACAAACTGTTGGTAGCTGGAGACAGCACATACTATTATTTGGGAGGACAGTGGCCACAAGAGTCCAGCAAAGATGCATAGTAGACAGAGTTCTATCACATACATGAACAGGGCCAGCCTCCTTGTATGGAGGATCAGATGCTTGGCGGATTTTTTTAGGCATATAAAAAGTCATTTTATTTACTTATTAGATTTATATCCCATTCAGGAGTTCAAAGTGGTGTGCATACTCCCATTTTTCTCCACCACCACAACCATCCTATGAGGCAGGGGGACTGGTCCAAAAACACCCAGTGAGCTTCCAGTGCTGAGGATGGACTTGAATGTGGATCTCCCTGGTATGAGTCCAGCCCCTTAACCACTACATCTCACTGGCTCTCAAAAGTCTAATATCTACTTTAAGTTGAGGTTGACTCCTAGGGACTTCCTTGGCAACAGGACAGAAGTAGTTTGCCATTGTATTCTTTTGGGATGGAGTTCAACTTATTTTAAGGTTTGTACTACAGATTTTAAGTGTTCCCCATCTCAACATGGCAGAAAACACTGTTGCCCTTATTTGTCATTATGTTTGGACAACAAGTCTAGAGAGGCTGTGATAAAAGAGGGTCAGAAGTTGTCTACAGCCATGAAATCTAGACTGATTGCCCCTGCTGATCATTTGCATTGATTCATTTAAATGTGCAGTCATGTGCTATGTGTCTTTTCTTGCTCCTGAAAAGTGACAACCTACAGCTGACTGGATGAAATACTTCTACTCTTAGATGTAAAGCCTCCTCAGCCTAAACAGGTCCAGGAATCCTCTCCTTCAACGGGTGACAACCCTGCCATGGAGGAACCCTTCTTGACAACTTGTGAGGGTGAGTTGCAAGCAAGTCCTGCTTCTCCTTGGATCAACCCTTGAGGTAGATGGCAGGACTCAGACGGTACATTAAGCCATAATCAAAACCACCACATTATGTCTAATTGTGATGGCTGAATCAGATATCTATCTATCTATCTATCTATCTATCTATCTATCTATCTATCTATCTATCTATCTATCTATGTCTGTCTGTCTGTCTGTCTGTCTGTCTGTCTGTCAGTAATCTATATACTGGTGCCTTTGAATCAGTTTTTGACTCCTGGCGACTGCCTGGACTAGTCCCTGTAGTTTTCTTGGCAAGGTTTTTTGGAAGTGGTTTGCCCTGGCCTCCTTCTTCCTAGGGCTGAGAGAGGGGGACTGGGCCAAGGTCATTTTGTACCTAAGGCAGACGACTAGAACTCAGTCTCCTGGTTTCTAGCCCAGGGCCTTCACCTCTACACCAAACTGGCTCTACCCCAAAGTTACAGACGACTAGAACTCAGTCTCCTGGTTTCTAGCCCAGGGCCTTCACCTCTACACCAAACTGGCTCTACCCCAAAGTTACAGACGACTAGAACTCAGTCTCCTGGTTTCTAGCCCAGGGCCTTCACCTCTACACCAAACTGGCTCTACCCCAAAGTTACCCAGTAGGTTGAATGGTTAAGGGTGATTTCTACCCAGTAACCAGATTGGCAAATGGGCTAAGAGGAAGTGGGCTATACAGAATATACCGATGATGATGATGATGATGATGATGATGATGATGATGATGATGATTTTAACATTTTTAAAGTGGTATAAAAGTTTTTAATGTATTATAGACATTGGCTGGAGGAGACAAAACCTGCCACAGAACACTCACCAACAGTCTCATCCAGCAGAAATGTCGCCTGAATAAGGCTGGGGAATGCCTACTGCCCCTGGCATCTCCAAACTGGGGTTTGTTTTTCCTCTCCTACACAGAAGCTTCACCCTGTGGCTTATTTGGTTTGGATTAGGTATACTGTCTGAGCCAAATTAATGTGAGTTGTAAACCACTTTTATTGCTTGGGGTTTTGTGATCATAGTTATGGCTACAATCTCTAGTGCAACTTTTCTTCCCTCCCCCCCGCCAGACATATAAGAGAAATTATCAACATAACCTCTATAAAGTGTGATAACACAACACACTTATCCATGATTAAATGAGCAACGATATACTCAAACCAATTTTCTAGCTCGCACTGAACCATAAATCAACCATACGGACTAGGTTCACAAAATATGCTAAGCAAAAATATAATACAATAGCCTTGCTGTAGCCCTAGACCTCACTTCCCTATAATAATCACAAAAAATACATGGCTTAAAGATTCAACAGCATGTTCCCCACATGGGCAAAAATGTGATTGGGGTTCAGTGTGCCATGTGAACACAGCCTTAGAGAGGCAAGATAAATATACTTAACAAGACCACTATGCATTTTTCAGTAAATCTGTGCATTCTCTTAAATTAGTTTCACATTAATCTCCTTGCAGAAGGGGCTTCTAGTTATACTCTGAGGTATACATCATTGTAAAACTAAGCAACTAGCCTTTTGATGTCTCTCATTAATGTAGTGATTTCCACTCCCACCTTTTTGCAGAAGGCTACTATCTGGTGAAGAAAGGAGAGACATTCAATGGAAGATACCACGTGGTCCAAAATCTGGGCTATGGGTATTTCTCAACAGTCTGGCTTTGCCAAGACACTGGGTAAGTAAAAAAAAAATGACCAGATCTTAATGAACTTTGTGATAGTCCGTATGATGTGGTAAGTATGCATTCTGCTATTGAAGAAGGGCTATAGCTTGATGGAATCATACTTTTGGCATGGAAAATGGTCCAAATTTTAATTCCGGGGTGGGGATAAGAGAAGATTGATGCCCAAAATCCTGGAGAGGTGGTGCCAGTCCCTCTGTAAACCTCACTGAGAAACATGAGCCGAGGTATTTTTTTTCCTATTTTCCTGTTACAAGAGTGTACAGGTTTCCTTGGTAGACAGTGGCATCTGTTCTCTGGCCCTTAGATGGATTACATTTACCTTCCTCAACTTAGCAACCTTCATACTGACTACAGAATTCTGGGAGCCTAATACATCTGGAGGACACCAGTTTGGAGAAGACTACTTGCAACTCAAGCTGGCAGACAAATCATTCCTTTTTAAAATAATTTTTATTAAAGTTTAGAGATACAAAGATTAAAAAAACAATACAAACTAAGAAAAATATAAAAGAGTGAAAAGTACAAAGAAAAATATATGAAAAAAGAAAAGAGATATATAAAGAAATGACTTCTCCCTTCATCATGACAAGTACAATGACAGTAACTTACCACCTTCTCTGATACAGTACAATGAAAGATCTCTTCTTCCCATATCTCATCGCTTATCTATAAACAAATCTTTAAAGCCTCGTCATTCAGTTCTAAGTCAGCAAAAGCCCATTAAAAGTTATGAGAAACAACAACATATTTTAACCATCAAATAAACCAACTTTATATTCTTTTCCTTTAGTTTTAATACAGTAATTTAAAGGCTGAAGACCTTGGCCGTGCCATACCTTTCTTAAACTGGCCTGGAAGAGTGACTTAGGCTAACAAGGGAAATTGGAATTCTAGGCATTGCTTCCCTAAAACAACCCAGTTCTGAATTAGAGGCTCAGTGTTGGCCTGGCATTTTTGTCTTGATTCAGGCATGGCATGATGCCCACCTCTGGGAGAGTTTTAGGGTACCAGATACTGGTGCTTGTGGGTGCTGAAACCTTGGGAGCAGAGGAAGTGCAGACCCCAGAGATTTTCCCTCTTTGCAACAGAGGCACCCTTAATAGCTACCTCCTCTCCATGGTGAGACGCACATCTTGCCTAGCACATACCGCCTATTCCCCCCTCCCTGCTCCCCCCACATTTACTTTTTACTCTGTGGGACTGAGTCTTTGGCTAGGAAAAATATGTCCTCTTTGTACTGTACTTTACCAGCCCCAGTACCTCTCCTCCTTGAATATTCAGTTCTTTCAAGGAAACTAGTCTACAGCTTTGCAGAACCACTGCCACCACCACCATCACATCCCATTTTACCTTTGAGGTAGGGTGCACTTTAAAAGCACATCTGGCAAGGATCTTCCATAGCCGAGGTGGGGATTTAAACCAATGTCTGAAATAGCAGCTAGGGGAATTCAAAACAATGCAAAGCCAAGACAGAGGTTTTTTATTCCTTACTCATTTTAAGCCATGCATTTTCTTTCAGGAAAAAGAGGTGTGTGGCTGTGAAGGTACCCAAAGGAGGGGAAAATTTTGCTGAGGCAGCCCTGGATGAAGTCATGCTCCTTCGCTGTGTAAGTGTCAATGAATCCAATCAGAATTCGAATCGTCTTGAGATTCTATAAAGGAACGGGGCAACCTCTGGCCCACAGGCCTCTTTTGGCCCATCTGGCCTGCAGAATCTCCCCTTGGTATTTTCCACCATCCCAATGCTTTGCCCACATTTCACTCGTCTCCCTGGAGCAGGAGAGGAGGAGTGAAGCCAGCAAGAAAAGATCCTGCAGTGATCTGTCAGAGACTGTCAGGAACAGCAAAAAACGAGAGATGTATGTGCAGATGTTCCTGCTCGTTCATCCCGCCTTGATTCACCAGACCTGCCGAGACAGGCAGTGATTGCTCTGCAATAGAGGTACAGAACATCTGCTGCCTTCCTGCGATTTCTAATCTACAGCAACTTCAGTCAGTGTGTCTAAGTAGTAGCTCAGCGCGCTATGGACAGGTCCACCTTCTGTGCTCTATAAAGAACAAGCTGGCTGGTTCCAGTGCCTGCACTTGGGTATAAATCTAGATTCCAATTATCCCTGAACTGTAGACTCAGGAAAGTTCAAGGCACCCTAAAAAAATAAGTCATTTGCACTTCTGTACTATCATACAGCTGGAAGGAGTTGTTCAGTCCAAACATTTGCCCAGAGAAGGAATTTAAATTAGAACATTCCTAGCAGATGGCTATCTAGCCTCTGCTGGAACACTGCCAGGGAAGTCCAGCACACCGTCTCTCGGGTACTCAGCTTCCCTGCTAAGCTGCTGTTCCATTTCAGAAGTTTTTCTTAACCCACAACCAAATCTGTCTTCCTGTAAGTGAAGCCCACAGTTCCATGCTTTGCCTTCTGAGATGACAGAAAAGACTGTAGCCTTCTTTGCTGTGACGCCCTTCTTCTTCCTTCTTCCTGTCTCAACAGGTGAATAGCAAGAGGAGGAAAGACCAAGGCAGCAAACACATCATCCACCTCTTGGATGATTTCAAAATGATTGGAGAAAATGGCTTCCATATCCTTTGGTTGATAGAACAGGGGCCATGAGGCCACAAAGCCAGATTTGCATATTCTGAATGCATCCTCCTCCAACTGAGAGCCCTCCAGATGTGATGGACTACAACTCTCCTTATCTGATGGGAATTGCCGATGGGAATTGGAGTGCAACACATCTGGAGAGTCCCAGATTGGGGAGGCGATCTTGACAAGGCTAATGGTGGTATCCAGGGAGAGACGACGGGTCATCTCCTAGGGCCAACGCTGGGCTGGAACGTGGGGAGCAGAAACCCCTTAGGGCAGGAAGATACACCTGGCCAATCAGTACAACGAAGGGCAAGAAGAAGATGTCAGTTCAATTTTTTATTTTATTCAGTTGAAGTGCTTTTATCCTACCAGAGTGGCTTACGCAGATTTATTAGGGAGACAGCATCTGCTCTCAGATTTCATTTGCAAGAGATAAGACTCGCACGGAGAAGGGGGGGGAAAGCAAACTCAGCAAGCTATTTCTTGGAGCTCTTCCCCCAAGACTGGAGATGAAAACAGTTCTGGCAGCCTGGAGAAAGCACTGCTGGTCAGGTGACAGTTTGGAAAAGGCCCAGGGTGGCCGGTCCCTCCACAGAGGTGATGAAATAGCACTGCAGCTGTTCTCCTACCTCTGTGCAGCCTGATGGAAGAGCAATTTCTCTTTCGGGGCAGACTGTTCAAGAGAAGAGCCACATAAAACATGGCACATCCCTGACAGGGGACTTGACTAAATATGGTCTCTCCATTTATGGTGCAGCCTGGTAGGGCATTTGTGGCTTTGGCTGAAAAACTGCAAAGGGCAGGGGGGAAGAGGAATTTAGCTTGTAAGATTATTTGATGTATTTACTTAGTTGTTTAACCACATTGGTAACCCGCTCCGATCCCAAAGGAGTCTGGGTGGTGGCACAGAACAGTGGAAGAAACCAAGATTACAATAGAAGAGCCAAAACAATACAATGGTCAATGCAATTGGTGATTCCTGTGATGGACACCCACCATTAAACCAGCTCTAGGGAACAAAACAGAGTTTACTTGCTTGCAAAATGCAAAAAATGTTGGGGCCAAACATTTCTCTAGAGCAGTGTTTCTCAACCTTGGCAATTTGAAGATGTATGGACTTCAACTCCCAGAATTCCCCAGCCAGCCATGCTGGCTGGGGAATTGTGGGAGTTGAAGTCCACACATCTTCAAGCTGTCAAGGTTGAGAAACACTGCTCTAGAGGAAGAGTGCTCCAGAGAGAGGAGACTACAGGGAGATACAGGGGTATTTATTTACTTTTTTTTATGTATAAGCTGTCCCAATCTGTTATGATTCTGGATGGCTTATAAACGACAACAATAAAAATACATAAAAACACAAAATTATCCTCAAAAAAGAGTCTGAACAACATCAACAGCCAGTTAAACAACCAGAATGTCCCACAAGGGGTCTGCCACCCATTCTGGCCCAGGACCTGGGGGCAGAGCCAGGTGTTAAGGGCTCATTTAAACAGGGCCAGGGTGGTGGCCATAGGAATCTTGGATGGAATAGGGATCTGGATGGAAGGAGCATTGGCGGGAGGCGGGGACCAGATTAAAGAAAGTCAAGATGGCGGCCACAGCTGCGTGATTGAAGCCTTACCCCTTTTTAATGTGTCCCAGGCACAGAGGAAAAAGGGGCAGACCTTCCATTGTGGGGTTGCCATCTTGACCTGCCTGCAGAGAAGGCCTGTCACCAAGTCCACCTCCCATGCACCTCTTGTTTGGGGGGAGGCGTGAATTTCAGTAGGTCTTCTCCAGGTGACCAGAGTGGCAGATTTAATCCTGCCAGGGCATGGCTGCTCTGCTCTATTTGGGGCTTTGAAGGTGACCCCTGCCAAGCCCCAACAGCTGGGCAGGACCTGAGAAGCTGCAAGGACTTCAGGAAGGTCTTTTTAATGCCAGTTTGGGGTAACTACAGAGCCTTGGAACCTGCAAGGGGAGTTCCCCAGCCTCATTGCTAATGAATTAATGAAGGCAGAGACTCTGAATGATCTGAAATATTTTCTCCCAGATTTCTCTCCACCTGGGATAAGTCACTGCTTATGAGAAAAGCTGCCAAGGGTCTCGCCCACCACTACCTCTTGACTGCTGATCTCTGTGTCCTTCTGTTTCTTTCCCAGCCCCGCCACCATCTCTCAGAGGTAACAAACAGCCTTTGATCTGGGCCCAGAAACCTGCTGGTAACCTGTGCAGCAGCTTTAAAACTGCTGTTATTCTATAACGGCAAGATTATCCTGCCAGCAATTTAGCTGTTGCATTTTGTACCAGCTGCAGCTTCTGAATCATCTCCAAAGGCAGCCCCACATAAAATACATTAGAGTAGCTCATCCAAGAATATGACTTTAACTGAGAAGGGCACTTTGGAGAGAGAGCTCCTAGTAGCCCCAAATATTGAGGAGGGAAGCCACTTTTCCTTAAGGGTTTTTCTGTGCTTGCATGAAAAGGAAAAGGCACATTCACAAAACATGGGGTGGGGGGTTATGCTGGTCTATGACCATAATAAAGATTTGATTTGATGGGGTGGGGTGGGGGTACACGGGGAAAATGATGATGCCTGGACCTTTGCCCCAATACAATTCTTGAAAATGGTAGAGCAATTGCAGAAAAGCCTTGCCTGGAAGCACCCATAGACTTGGGTCCTCCCCTAACTGTCTCAGTTCACATTTATTGGGTGTCATGCTCAAAGGTTCCCTTCCCATCTCCATGCCCCCCCCCTTTTAGAGCAACTGCAGAATTAGAGGAATCTTCTCAGTTAGTGGATCCCTGACTTGACCCACATGTTTGCTTAGTGATGGAGCTGCTGGGACCTTCACTGCAGACTTTGCTGAGCATCAGAGGCTCCCAAGGCCTCCCTCTGCCCTTTGTGAAGAAGACCATGCGCCAGGTGAGTAGAACATCAGGAGAGCTGAGCAATGAGAAGGAGCATCTTTTGGGGGGAGTGCAGCAAAATCTGCAGGATGGCAGGCCTGGTATTGTGATCCAAACACCACCCCTTTTGCAGGCATGTACACAATGGGTAGGGCTTCAGTCACAATACTATACCTGCCATCTTGCAGATTTTGACACACACAGCCCATAGTTATCCCTAGCCTTATGGACTCTAGGCTGGTGTTACACCCTGGACCAGAGTCAGTTCCTTATATAAAAGGGCAGTTGCTGGGGATCTTACTGCCCAGCAGGGCTAGCATCTTGCCTATTCTCCTTTTCCCCCATAAAATGGAAGCACCTTCTAATAGACTCACAACTGATGACAAGGTGGCTCTGCTCAAAATTGGTTATCTGCACAGGGATGAGAGACTGGTTTGTTCACATGCTGTGCTAACCCTGAATTTGTTTAAACCATAATTGGCTGAATTCACTCAACAGGCTAAGCCACAAACAATGATTTGGAAACCACAATGGCCATGCCAAAACCAGTCAGCCACATTATGGCTCTGTATGATGCATGAAGCTAGCACCATGGGGGAAACCTGAGTCTCTGGGTGGCCATTTCAAACCTAGAGGAGGAACCTGTTTTCCCTTGATCAGAATCAGAGGCTTGAGAAGGAACCATTTAAACCCAAAGAAATTTTCAGAAATAAACAGAGCCAAACCTTTTCTAATAATGTTGGGGCTGGCCAGCCTAGAGGCTGCCAGGCAGAGCAGAGAAGCAAAACAGGGTTAGAACCGGTTAGTACTTTGGTGGCTGCAGGCTCGAGTGGGAAGTGAAAGAAGGCAAGGGCAAACCACTGCTATTCTGTGGCCAAGAAAATTATATGGCCTACCCATACCATTGCCAGGGATCAAGGCTGACCTGGAAATCTTTATCTTGACCTGGTGTCAGTAGACCAAGTTTGGGCCACTGAGCACCTACTGTGTCTGGTTCACGCAGGTACTCCAAGGCTTGCATTTCCTGCACAAGGAATGTCGCATCATCCATACAGACATCAAGCCGGACAACATCCTGCTGTATGTCACTGAAGAGAGCCTGCAAGATATGGTTTCTTTGGAACACGGCATGAGAGCAAACCAAAAATCCAGGACAGGAGGTACATTTGGGCTTGGGAAGCAAGGCAGGAGAGTGTAGCAATTTGTAAGAAGCATATGTTCTCTCAGGAGTTTCAGGAACTCCCTGTGGGGAACATGTTCAAGGCCAGCTGGGCCTTTAGTCAGAGTGAGGCGTTTCTACTGTAGCAGATGATGGGAGATGCCTTCACCACAGCTCTTATCAACATCTAATGGTGGAATGAAGGCCAGGAACCAGGCATCACTCTGTTCTTTGATAACCCTACCTGTGGCCTTCTGTGCTGGACTCTGGCTCCCATCTTCCCTGACTGTTAGCCATGCTACCTAGCCTGGGTCATGATGGGAATTGGAGTCCATATTTAGAGGGAGGGCACCGGATCCCCAGCCCTGTTTTAGGCAGGAAGAACCAGTGACCAGATGCAAAGACATTCAGTACTTTTAAATCGCACTCTCTTCTGTGAATGACTTCACTGGGTGATCTTGAGGAGAGGAGGGCTACCACATCTGGGCTGCAAGAGATCTGGATAATCTCTTCGCTGTGGTCTAGTGGTTGTCTGGATTTTGCAGCCCAGATGTGGTAGCCCTCATTTTGAATATCACTCATTCCACTTATTTAGTGCCCCACAGTCCCCACATAGCTGCCAACCAACTGTATTGTGGACTGCTTTTCATTTTACAAACTGTGATCACTAACCGAATCTCACATAAACAATTATGACTCAGTGGTTGAACACATCTTTGGCCACAAGAGGTCCCTGCTATAATTTCTGGAATCTCTGAGGTTTCTAAGTGGCAAGGATTCATTATGTATTACATTTACTCTGTCTCTCTGGCTAAACTCAGGGTGGCATAATGGCTTGCCATCCAAAAGGCATGGTTCAAAAAGGGGAGGGACAGAGGAAAACAAATCAAGTATGCAATCTTTTTCTACACGGTGAAGATACAGAAAGGCAGAAAAGCTAGTTCAGCGGTGGGGAGAGTTTAATGGCAGCTGGTCCCACCTGAGCTGCAATGGGAAAGGGTGATTGTAACTACCATCTTGACTTTTTGGCCCCTCCCCTGCAGATGCCCCAACTACAGCTGCAATTGGGGTTGATGCTGTTGATATAACAGATGAAAACTGAGGTTGGAGGTGCAGTTGGACCTCCGGGAAAGATCTTCAGCTGATTTCTTGGTGTTCCTTTGTTCTAGAGGATGGCCCAGCAGCTCTTCTGGACTGTTGCAACCTAATGAAGATGGGAGTGAAAATTGCAGACCTCGGAAGTGCCTGCTGGACTGTGAGTCTCTACCAACCTTCTCCTCTTATGCTAACTTCTTCCTACTTCTGAAAGTGCAGGACTCTTTGAGTGGATTCACATCTAATGCTATGGCATGGTTCATCTGACCATGATTTATTGAATAATCCACAACTGGCTGGAACCAGCAAATACTGTAAGCCATATGGTGTAGTTTACAAACCATAGTGACTTAGATCACTGAGATGACTTGGTGAATGGAACCTGTCAATCCTGGCTACAAACCAACTAAAAAATAAGAGATGGTGGTCCTCTAGGATCAGAAATGGTACATATCCATGGCTAAAGTGCCACTGCATCTCTTCGGATACAAAAAGAGTTGCATTAGCCTCATCCAAAAGTCCGTTTAAGTTCAGCTTTCTACAGAGGGCACCCAGATGCCTCTGGAAAACCCATATACAAAACTCAGCAAAAGCCATCTCCTGTTTATGCCCCTCAGCAGTTGATTTTCTGCGCAGCAAGTTTCCTCTGAACATGGAAGTTCCATAAAACCACATATCCATTAAACATTCACAAACTCGATCTCCATGAATTTGTATAATTCATTTTTCAAGTTATAAAAGCCAGTAGTTTTGATTGGGGCATGTAATTTTTAAAAATTACATATGTATGATTTTTTTTTTCTGGTCCTGAATCTATCAGCAATCAGTGCCACTAGATCATAGTCGCCCATGAGTTTTGGCATTGCTTAAAAGCAAGAGCTGGGATTTTTTTGAGATCCGGTGCCTCCATTTCTGCATAATAATTTTATAAACCTCTATCACATCCTTACAATACTCACACGTTTACTCAGAAATATATCCCACTATGTTAATGGAACTTCTGCTGAGGTTTGCAGCCTTAATCATCTTTTCTTTTAACCTAAAAAACACTTCTGCCTTTCTTCATACAGAAGACTCATTATCCCCACCCCACAATAAATTTGGTGTTCTTTGAGTATCTTATAGTGCAAATGATCCCATCTAAACACACCCAGTACCTAATACGGTTGGGCTACTAGTGCATCACTCACGCAGGGGCATGTGAGAATCCACCCTCAATGTCTCAGTTGTTTCTTTCTTCTATTCCAGTATAAGCCCTTCTCCAAAAAGATCCAGACCCAGCCCTACAGAGCTCTGGAGGTTCTTCTTGGATTAGAGTACAGCACCCCAGCTGATATCTGGAGCACAGCATGCGTGGTAGGGCCACACTCCTGTGCAATTGTTGCAGCAGGAATGCGACGGTGATACTTGCCTGTGGAATTTCAACCATCTGTTTAGAGTTGAACCTGGAAGATAAGAAGTTGATTACCAGAGATAAGAAGCTGATGACCAGTCACTGGAATGTGTTCTTTTATTTAGTCTTATTCTCAATGTAATTGTCAGATATCTCTTTCGGCCTCTAGACAGACACATACCAGGAGAGAGAGGTGTCTCCTTCTTGATCTAGATGTCTCCACCCTTTCTCACTGGGCGTGGGGGGGGGGGACCCAAAAGAACAAGACTATTATCCTGAGATTGATTTTTTTTCTGAGCAAATAAGTTAAATGTATATTAATAGCCATTTTTAAGACCAGACAACAGTTCATTCTGAGCTATACCTTTCAAGCCAGACATGTCTAACTAGTTAAAAGAACTTAAGTCATTTAAGAAATGAACATTTAAAAAAGAACCTCCTCTCTAAAGTCTATTTCCAAGACCCTAGATTGGAGCAATTCATCCAATCTAGCAGCATTAGCATACTGAACTTTTTAAAAAGCTGCTGTATTTGCAGAATCATAAGCTGTAGACTGGTTTAGCCAACTCTGTCACTGGCTATTCCTTGAAATCCTAATGAACCAACAGCCTCTGTCTCATAGTTATTTAATTAAGATCCATAAATTATTTGAAAGTAATTTAGATTCATTCTTTGTACCGTATATGTCTGGGATGGGAAGTTTTGTTGCAGTTGCAGCTACCCTTTTAAAAATTATTCCCCCCACCCAAAAGGCAAGGTGGTAACATCGTATTATCATTAGAATGGATGTGGCAGAATGTTTCACTTTTTTATTATGGACATTTCTATTTCGCTATTAGTATTCATCATCAACATCATCGCCCATTCGTTTTCCATTGAATTTCCAACGCACAATCTTGATAGACTTTGGTGGAGTCGGGGTGGGGGGTGGGGGGTGGGAGAGAATGGGCTGTATGTTGTCTAACCTTGCCTATGGAAATGGCCAGGCCTTGATCCTGTGTACCCCACTGGGGTCCATTTCACATTGCTCTGCCAATGACATAGAAGACTCTTTATAATTCTGAGTAGTGCTCCTAGCGTAGAGGCTGTTGCATGAACCAGTCATCTTTCTATATCTCATTACAAAATGCAGGATTGCAAGAACAGACCTCCACCCCCTTAGCTGCTTCTCAGACCTATCATACTGACATATTGACATTCCTCCAGCCTAGGACACTGATATAGAGATAGGGCAGGTAATCTAATCTTAAAAAAGTGTGAGACCGTCCTGTCCAACTCAACCCTTTGCTATGCAAACAGAAGGGTCAGTTTTACGATCTTAAAAAAGAAATTAGGGTTGTAATAATAAGCCTTCTGCTTCCCCTTCTCCTTGATGTTTACAGATTTTCTGGGAAATGCAACTTGCATTGCACCTGTAAACCTTTAGCATTACAAGAACAACAGAAATGTGGTCTAGTCTATTGTTTGCATTGTTTGAATTGGCCTACAGCGGATTGACTCAAGGCTTGCTCATCTTGTAGGCATTTGAACTGGCAACTGGAAAGCACCTTTTTGAACCTCAGGCCGGGCAGTATTTTTCCAGAGACGATGGTAGGCCCACGTTAGCATCATCTTTTGTGAGTTCATTCATTCTACATAAACAAACACCTGGCTCTGCTTTCTATGCTTTTCAGATCATGTGGCTCGGATCATTGAACTCCTGGGCAAAATCCCACCCAAAATTGCTTTGCTTTGGAAGCAGACATCAACTTTCTTCAGCAGACAAGGTGAGGATGCCAGGACGGAGACAGGAAGCAGTGATCTTTTCCACTCTCCTGGCATTTACAATCATGTGCTTCTGTAAACACATCCAAATCCAATATTATTATTTTACTTGGCATGGTTGCTAGTAGCATAAACTTGTGAAGCCTTGACAACCTTTCAGTAACTGCCGCATAACTGCTTTTATTTTTTCTGTCTCCTTTGGCAGGGGCTCTTCTACGGATGTCCTGGATCTCTTTCTATGACCTCTATCACATCCTCATTGATAAATACAGCTGGCCAAAGCCACAGGCCACCCTGTTTACCTGTTTTCTCTTGCCAATGCTGGAGTATGTCCCAGAGAGAAGAGCACGGGCTGACAAATGCCTTCAGCACCCCTGGCTTAGCCCCTAAGGATGCATCTCCATGCTTCCTCTGCCAGTCCCAGCAGAGATACGGAAGGCAGGTGAATATCCCCTGCACACAGTTTCTTAGGACCAAACTAGCTATGATGTTAGCTGTGTGGATTCAGTTTGGTGTTTTGGGTAAGGTAGACTGCAGGTTTCCAGTAAAGAGAGTAAAGCAAGGATTTTTTTCTTCTGGCCATGGTCTTCCAGGCACTTTCTTTGAAGCCAAAACAGCAGGTTTGGAAAAGAAGGGTTTGGGTGGTTTTAGACAGAGGGATTTTAATGATACCAATTAAAATCAAGCCATTCCATCTTCTCCTCTGTAACATTTTTTCTTGGTAAGAAAAATGACAAAAGAAGTAGCAGGGATGACAAGGGAGGCTTACAAATAGAAGCTCTTCTGCAAAAATCTATGGCTGAGCCAACTGCAAAGTAAAAAAAAGGAGGAAAAGAAATAATTAAACTGCTCTTCTTCGCTTTCCATGGTCCTCGGGGCTGCTCAAACTTCCTCAAGGTTGTAACATACATAACAAAACACATGCATCATTAACCACATTTACACACTTAAACATCATTGCTAGTTTGGCCTTTTGTACATTGGGAATGAGGCTAACCGCATTATGACTGTGTAATCCCAGCCAATCACTGCTAGAGGGCTGGGGTTTTGTTTGTGGGTTAGTTCAGTGTTCAACTGTCCTGATGACTGGGAAGTTTTTTTTAATGGCATCGCAGGTAATCCACCAATCAGCTCTTTGCGCAGAAGTCTTCTACATCAAACTTGCAGAAACACCCCCCATTCCCCGTGGCACTTAAGAAAGATGTGTTTGTCTAGAACAGTGATGGGGAACCTATGACACAAGTATCAAAGATGACCTGCCACGTTTGGGGGGACACGCCAGCATTCACCAACACCCAACCACAACTATTCTCCCTGTTTGAGTTACCAAAGAAACTGAGTTTGTTTTACTCGTATTTCATGCTTGTAATGTTTGCCTTTTCTTTATATAATATATAGCACCACACATGATTGGACTGTATTTTTTTTAAATAAATGAATAGGTAAAGAATTGTTTCTCTTTTGTTCAGTGGGGAGGGGTGGGTAGCAGTGACACACCAGCAGAGTCAAGTTAGGCATTTTCCAAATTTTTGACAGACCAAGCCCCAAAGGTTCGGCATCACTGGCCCAGAGGCTTTTAGTGCAACCTTATGGCTCTCAAAAGGTTATACCTATCCTCGCCCACAATCTATCTTCTACTGTAGGAGGAAAGCCACGTGAACCCATGATAGCAAAAATCAGAAGAAGTCTTATAGCACCCTTTCCAACTAACTGATTTTATTAAAAAGCCTAAGCTTTTCTGAGCAGCAGCTCGCTTCATTAGATGCATAGAGTGGCTCAACTGCTGTAGGATTTAAACTGGGATAATGAGATGCGGGGGGGAGGAAAGGGAGGGGAATATAGATTGGATACGCAGATGCAGGTTACATGAGAGGCAGATTAAAAGTACCTTAACAATTCACACTTGTAATTGTTGAAAACCCATTGTGTTTGGTGATAAGCATTTTTCTGTTCCTGCTAATTTTGCATGATACTTCCCAGAAATTCTGATATCTCAATCCATACCCTTCCCTGATTTAATATGCTAGTTTCAAATATATGAAAAAAATAGCCCAGCATTCTCAAGGTAAGTTATTAAAGATCAATAACTCATAATGCAAATCCAACATAATGACTAACAGAAAGTTATGTTACAAAACAGATACTAACCCTACCATGATCTCCATTGTGTTTCTTTGAACAAATGTTTCATTCCTGCCATTTTCCTCCGCTACATTCAGAGCAATTTTTTCCCCTCCTTTAAAGATTTCTCCATATTTTTGTGACTATGTTTACATACCTATCCCACTAGAACCTCTCTTTCTTTTCATGCAAACCTCTTGGATATCATGATCACACAGAGATGTGTTAAAATCCAGTACTCCCACCTCTGATTTTGATGCAGCTCAAAATATTACTGGTTTGTCCTTCATAAGAGAGAAAGACTGCAAGCCCCACACTAACGACCCACTAACCCAGAGAAGTGAGAAACAGAGTGATGGTCTTTGTATTGCAAGAACCAAGGGCAGAACAACATGTGGGCAACAAAAGATGACAACTCTTGAAGCAAATGAACTGTAATTAAGTGTAACAAAGGAGCATTTGCCAAAATTCTTAAACTAAAGAATTACATGGAAAAAGAAATCATTTGGTCCTTGATCCTGATTTTGCTGCTGCTTCCCTCCTTCCAAGAATTTCCCATAGCTTTGGCATTTTTCCCTTCCTATTTACCTCCAACAGCATGCATGTGTTCCCCCGACACACGCACACATACAACACAGAGACAATTTTTTTTTCCCCCATATTCCAGCATGACCTACTTTCCAATCCCCCCTAAGGGATTCACGCTGCAGGACCTTCCAGTTCTGTCTGCCCCCAGGCTGCTTTCAACCAGCATCTGGCTGGGAGGTCAGAAGAAGAGCAGGCTGGTGTTCCATTTCTGAAATAAGAAGTGACAGGATTCATCAGAGAAGTCATCTCTTTTATCCTGCTTTGATTTGAGCAGTTGGCTGTAGCTACTCGATGCTGAAGTAAAGCCTCTGTCCATGCTCATCAGGAGCCTTACTTTCAGTATTAATGCCAGGCTCTAAGGTTGAGATAGAGGCTGGGTTTGCACTTTGCATTAAACCCTTGCTTAACCATGGCTTACTGAATAACTGCAAATGAATGAGTTCACACATGTTAAGCAATAGACTCTGGTTTACAAAACGTATATATGACATTAAGCCAAAACTGAACAGATCTCACATGGCTTAGCATGATGCCAAATCCTCAATCTGGATTAAAAAAAATTCAATGGCTCTGTTCATATAACATGTTGTACTCAAAGTATAAAAGGACAAAATTGGTTGGGGAGTAGAGTTGCAGAATCTTTCATATGAGAACACACTGAATTATTTGGAGTTTCTTTTTACACACACCACACACAATTTTATTAAATATTTTTAAAAGAATATAAGAACTAACACAAATATAAAGAAAGAAAAAGAAATCCAAGAAAGTGCAAGAAAAGAAAAAGTAAAGACAAAATAGAAAAGAAAAAAAAAGATACAAAAAAATAACTTCCAATTTTCTTTACAGCAGTTATAAGTACAATTATAAGTTTACCTCTTGGTCTCCGGTTACAACATACCTCTCTTCTGTTTAATCATCAAAACCATAAATCATAAGTTTATTTTTTTCTGTTTCACGCAAAAAGTCTATAAGGGGTTTCCAGTGAGCGATAAATGTAGATATTGTCTTTTCTGTGATCAATTTAACCATCTCTTGCAAGTTCCATCATTTTCACCAACCATTCCTCCATTGTGGGTAATGCTGAACCTTTCCATCTTCGTTCATACAATAATCTCCCTGCAGTTATCATGTACAAAAACAAAGTTCTGTGACTCTTTTCCAACTGTTTGTCCATCAATTATTTGGAGTTTCTTAATTTAGAAGAAAATATGGTAAAGGCTCAGATACTTTGGTCACCTAATGCGAAGAGAAGACTCTTTGGAAAAGACCCTGATGC